TTTTCTCGATCTATAATGTAAATTTGAATGATACATGACGCTTCATTTATGTGCATCATAGTGACAGAAATTTACAATACTTTATCGAACTCTTTTCTAGAATTGCAACATGTGAATAATGCAGAACAAGTTTTAAATTGTTCTAGAGTCAAATTGGTTTTGAAAAGAAGGCCAAACCACAGACAAACAGACATAACAGTCGCAAGTTGTTCACCGAACAAGCATTTAACGCTCAATTTAATAGTAACTTAGTTGGTAGTACCGCCACCTGTGGCGCGCATAGTCAATTCCCTTGCGTTTGACGTTTACACACTACCGCCATCTGTTCAGCGTACTACCCACCACACTGTGCTCAACAGATGGCGGTAATGTTTTAGCGACGATGTTTTACATTGAGAAATATTCAATGTGTTATGTCTGTTTGTCTGTGGTCAAACTACCATCGAAAAGCTCAGCCGCTCTGAACCCTTCAAGTGTAAACATTATGCTTTCCCTAAGTGGTCCCTCTGCGTTCTGCCTCTGTTAACCCAAAAACCTAAAACTGATTCAAAGATTATAATATAGAGAGAGTAAAATAAAATATTCACCTGCACTTGTCCATTTAAATAGACGTCATTAGACTCTAACTCACTTACTTGGCCAGACTTCAGCTCTTCAACCGGTGGGCAGTGCACTCTACACCGAGGGGGACGACTCTATCTACGATGCAGAAAAGATTGTGTTTTTCTGTGGCTAGCTGCGAGCACGCTGAGTAGATAGAAAGAAGATTGATCACGATTCTGAAGATTTCCTGCAAAAAGATGATGCGCGACGCAAGATTTTTTGAAGACTGATCCGCTAGTGTGAGATTTTCTGAGAATCTAGAATTGAGATTTAGATGAGTCGCCCCCTCGCTCTACACTCCAAGTTCCCTTTTGAAACATTTAAAATATCATACTTTACCCATTGAGTGTTGATTAATCACAATACAAATTGTTACCGAGCGCGGACTTGAGGTTACTAGACCATTAAATAATCTAGGTCCTTTTTTGGATTATATATGAAAAATCCAAATTTGGCGAATGTGCACCGAAAATAAACAAAACTACTTTATGACTTACAGTGCAATGAATGAGCGTTTTTTTCAAGATCATTTCAGTGTTGGAGTTATGTTAGTTTCGATCCGCAATCAGCCCTGCCGGCCCCTCCAACATTAGTTGCAGGTAGTGGTTGTTAAATCATGCGACGCTGTAACTACTACTATGTTAGATGTATGATTCGTCAAATTTATACAACTCAATGTTTCAATTGAAATAATCTATTTATCTTATAATTACAATTATATGCAAATGCAAAATAAAACTTGACAAATCATCGTCAATCCCCTTATTTGTGGGCAGGGCCTGACGATGTGAATCTGATTTTGATCTGTACACGGGCACCATATGGTACATTCTCTCACTATGAACCTGTTATTTCTAGCGTATCTGAACTATGCTCCCCCTAAGCGGAGGGCTCGCATCCTATCCCTGTCTTATCTCAAATACCAAATGCCCATGGTTTGAATGTATCAATATATAAATTGGAAATGACGTCCAAACAACTAAACCCATAACCCACTTATTTGGCCAGGTTTCAGAATCGTCCAGTAGGCAGTGCGCTCTGCACTCCAAGTTCCATTTCTTTCAAATTTACCCCAAATTTGATATTTTACCCATTGAGTGTTGATTAATCACAATGAAACATTGTGACAGAGCACGGACTTGAGGTTACTAGAGTATTAAATAACGCCCACCATCAAAGAGGATCTTCTCATCGTTGCTTAGATCAAAGCTTTCAATGTAATGTCGTTTTCGTGTTTGTTACACTACACCGGTGTAGTGTAAGCAGCAATAAGCGCGAGTCATTGACAGCTCATCATCATTTGTTTGTAAACAAAGGTGAAACCGATAGCTACACCTGAATTTTTTCGGTGTTCTGCGGTGTAGCACCGGTGTAGCTACACCGCAAAAAACGAAAACGACACAAGTAACGTCGATTTTCTAGTTAAACGAAACCTCATAGGCCGGAACAAATATCAAGTTTTTCTTTTGTCTCCGCCCCCCCCCCCCCCCTTCAAAATTTTGGAATATCACCAAGGGGGAAATAAAATAAAACTTTCAGTGTATATATATTTTTCGCAAATTCATTTGAGTATCGATACTCGCTTTGCTAGATTTTATTATGTTATTGTTGTTGTTGTTGTTGTTTTAAATAATTTTCACATAAATTGGTACTTGACCAGTACGGCATGACAGGTCCTTAAAATCGGATCAGCCGGTTTCAGTTGTTGAAAACGGATTTTATCGAACATCATTCCTAATCTTGTTTGGCAACTCACTAGGTAAGCCACCTTCAATCTGATCGATCCCTCTTGTTCGTTGCGCACATCTTCGTCTTGTCCCAATCGGACCACTACAAAGAACCATTTTCAGTGGGTCGTTATCCGACATTATTACGATGTGCCCAGCCCACCGTAGTCGCCAGATTTTTGGATTCAATCTACATTTCTTAACTTACAAACCTTCTGCAATGATACTTAATGATTCACTTCTTTTCTACAGTGATTCAACAATTTCCGAGCTAAATCCAATCTTTTCAAAATTGGTTTAACATTTTTAGAAGTGAGACCAAATCAGAAACGATTCAGGAAATTCCTAACTGAGGTGACACTTTTCAAAGCAGATTCAAAACTAAGTCTGAACTTTTTTTAAGTGAGTTCAAACTTTCGAATAAGTCATAAATATTTTTCTAACTGAGTCTAAACTTTTCTGTTAAGTTATTCAATCCTTTTTAATGTTGTCAAAACTTTCCTGACATGATTCAACATATTCCAAATCCAATCTTTAAAGAATTGGATTAGCATTTTCTGAAGTGAGGCAACATTAGCTGATTAATGCTTTTCCTAAATGAATCCAAGGTTTCCTGCATTGATTCAACTTTTTCCGAACTGAAACCAAATTAGTCAAAACGGGTTTGATATTTTCCTAAGTGAGCTCCAGATTTTTAGCATTTGGCAAGGACACAATCTTGCTTAGTGAAAGTGTAGAAAGTTTTCCGAAGTGAACCGACAATTTTTTTAGCTTAAATTTTCCAAATGGTGTCCAACCTTTTCTGAAGTGGTTCAAAACCTTCCTTAGGGAGTCCAAACTTTTCTGTTGAGTGATGTTAGTCTGAGCTTTCCTGAAGTGATTTACCTAACTTTTAACGTAGATTCCGCTCCCTTAGATCCCTTCCTCATTCTTGTGAGATTCACATCGTTTGAAAATTAGGCTGAGATTTTAAAGAATGGACCTTCGTGTGTTTATGCCTGATGGTAGATTTTTTTTTTAAGCGAGCACAATTGTTGAGAAATCTGGGTTTACATCCACAAAAGTACGTATTTTTATAGAAATTTGGGATTCTTGATCAGCCAAGTTGGATTTTGGCTCCGTCCTTTGAAAAACAGGCTTGGATGTTATGGAATAGACCTTTGTGAGTTCATACGTTTTGAAGCCAGGTTGGATTTCGGTTCAATCTTTTTAAAATTTGTGCTTGGATTTTGTAGAATGGAACTTGCTGAATACCGGAAGGACGAACCTGGTTAATATTCACAAAAGAAGGTATTTTCATAGACAATTAATTTTTCTGTTTTTCCGAACTGAATTTTGGCTTCTATCTTTGAAAAATAGGCTTGTATTTTAATAGAAGTTGCTGAATCCATACGTGAGGGTTGAATTTCTTCAATTTTTGAGAATACCGAGTTTAAATTCACAAAAGTACATATTTTCATAAAACTTCGATTTTCTGTTCTGCCAAGTTGAATTTCGGCTCCGATCTTTGAAAATAGACTTGAATTTTATAGAATGGACTTTGCCGAATCCATACCTGATGGTAAATTTTTTGAAGCATGCACAATTTTTTTAGAAAACTGGGTTTTAATTCTCAAAAGTACGTATTTTTATAGAAATTTGGGTTTCTTGTTCAGCCATGTTGAATTTAGGCTCCTTCCTTTGAAAAATAGGAGTGGATTTTACCGAATTGCTGAATCCATCCGTATTTTCATAGATATTTGGTTTTTTGGTTCTGCCAAATTGCATTTTGGCTCATATCTTTGAAAAATAGGCTTGTATTTTTTAGAATGGACCTTGCTGAATCCATACGTGAAGATTGATCCGGGTTTGTAATTCGAAAAGTTTTTTTTTTGTTTTCCTTTTCTGCTAAGTTGGATTTTGATACTGTCCTTTGAAAGTTATGCTTAGATTTTGTATGATTGTTTAGATATAATGTAAAACTAATTTTAAATGTTTATTTTTTTTTGGTTTATTTTTTTTCCCCCCCTCCCCCCCTCTCGACTGGTCGAGCATGGAGTGACAAAAGAACAACTTGTGATTTGTTCCGGCCTTATGGCTTTCAATTCCTCTCACGAACACTCTTCACCACTTTTTCAATTTGGTTAATATGCGTTATGTCCCGTTTTCGTTAATTTTTTTAGATAAATATGTGTAAAAAAGATAAATTCAACATATAACGTGTAATCTTCAAGTGTTTTCACGTGAGAAATGCTTTAAATATATATTTTTATTTTCCGTCATATAGTCATGAAAGCCCTACCTCTCAAAAACTATCCATGTGGTTTGTGGACTGCCCCTAAGTATATGAATGTAAAATGTAATAGGATATTGAGAGCACAGAGAGATGTTGACCAACAAATTCCTATAAAAGTGCATCCATGCCGCCAACATAAAACCTTATTGCATGCTAATAGTGGATTACTGAATATCCACCGTTTTACAGTTTTAATACCGGTGACGTGTTGCGCGATGAGCAAAATGAAATTCAACTCCAGACCTTGAAGTGGAATTATTTAAATGAACGCAATGTGTGAAAAATAAACGTCATCGCCATCAACGACCCATATCCAGTTTCAACGCCATGCTGTGTGACTGTGAGTTGATACATTTTAATTTACAGCTTGTGTTTTTGTTCTTTTCGATTCGCAGATTAAAAAATTTCGCATCAACAAAACGCAATGGATTCGATCGTTAGCATCAGTGCCAAACATTCATTCAACTGGATCTCCGCGACGCTGCTCGTAGCCACCCTCCTCCGACCGTTCGCCCTCTGCGGTCAACAGTTCAGAAGCGTACCCACGACGGTCAAAACGTACGAGAACGAAACCGTCCTGCTTCCATGCTACCACAATTGTAAGGCAAATCCCATTCCAGATTTGTATTCATCTATCAATTTATTCACTTATTTACGAACTAAACAAAACGACCGACTGAATTAATGGGGAATGTCAATTACCTATAGGCATAACGGCTTCGTGTCGTAGATGATTCGAAAGTAAATCGTCCATTGGCGGGTCACATGTTCTATGTCAAAGTGTCAAAAGTCAATCTCTCTGTACACAAATTCTTTCCTCCGATCAGATGTGATTGCTCGTACCGCATACAAAGTAAAGCAAAAGCAAATGCTCCTACTGTGATTGAAGAGTTACTAGACAAGGAATGGAATTCTTTCGGTAGGTGATGTTGGAGGAGGTGTCTAGAACTTCTCAAAACCGGTCTAAGTAGTTTATGAACAGCCCCAAAGTAACAAATGTATGTAAACACAATAGAGTTATCAGTGTCAATCGATGTTCCTGCTATTACACTATATACTGTCCGGATGCATAAAACCCCATATCTTTTAGAAATACAAGGATGAAGCACAATATAAAAAAGTAGAAGGGCCTGTGCCTAGGGCGAACGGAAGCTTGACGTAGGACCGCTAGTGGACGGAACAAATATGTTGATCATTTAGTTCATAACTCATTCCGTTTTTGAATTGGTACCCTGAAAAGGGCCGGTTGTTTTTCGAATGGTGGCCACGCCAGTCCGGTCAATGCCGACCGGATGACGGCGGCCTAGTCATGTTTCCTATTTCGGGAAGCCATTCCTCCGGTCGATGTGGGTGCTTTCTTCGTCGTCTCAGTGATGCCACATATACAGATTTATATGTAATAATACAGATTTGTCTCAACATTTTGATATAGACATCTGAATATACAGATTAGAGATTTTTTTTTTAATATGCAGAAATTTTCAAATATGTGAAATATATGTTTAACTCTGGATTATATTTATTAATATATCCATAAATAATCCTTTCTTCCATTTGAGTAGGTACGAGCACCTTACCAAATCCCAATGTTTCACTTTTTATTTTAACCTGTATTCAGATCTGAGCGACATTGGCACGCGCGGGGCGGAATTTTCGTTTGGTAATAGAGAGAGAAAAGCACTAAGTTATCTCTCTCATGCACGCTCAGGTCTGAATACACTTGTATACTTATTCCCTGCAAAGCGCGCAGTACTTTGATTCGCGAACGAGAGCTCTCATAAACACTTTAATTCTATTTTAATTTCTGCTTGTGATCAAAACATGTCCAAAAACACCCAGCGGATTATTCCAGTCCGCATCGTGCTCTCTTGCCGTGCGGATCTATTTGCTTTTTGCTGAAGGAAGTGTTACTACTACCTAAAGCTACAACAAATTTAAACAGCACTTTTCAGTGCTCAACCTGTAAAAATTTTCTACCTTGTTCCAACTCTTATTCCTCTTCGATCCTTGTTTGGACCCTACCCGAGGTAATCCTTCTTGGATATCGATTTGGAAAATTCCTCTTCGATCCTTCAGATTCTTATAGTAATCTGCTTGGAAGTCGAATTGGATAAAAATTTACTGCCGCCATGGCGCCTAAACGCAAAAGAAAGGGGCAAACTCTTGACCCCCCTTCTGATGAAATTAATTTGAGTAATCAATTTGATTTGCTCACGGATGATGAGAATGATCCATCATCCAAGAAAAATTCTAGTAAACTTTCCCGGCTTAATGCCAAGAAGGAAAAGATTCCCCCTATTGTGATAACCACTACCGATTTCCATGCTCTTCGCATGGAACTTTTGAATTTCGTGAAAGTTAAGTTTTCACTACAAATTGGACGTCGGGGTGAATGCCGTGTATTGGCTGAAACCTTGGACGGATTTAAATGTCTTCTCAAGTATCTTACTGAGAAGAAGCACAAATTTTTTACTTACGACACCAAAACTGAACGTGTGTTCAAGGTTGTCATGAAAGGACTGCCCAGTGGTGAATCCCTGGATCAGATCAAAGATGAACTGGCAAAATTACTTGGAGTTGTGCCACTCCAAGTAATCAAAATGAAAATGAAATCCCGTCCTGGCAATTCGCGCAACGGGATTTCTAATGATTTTTATTTAGTTCACTTCAAGTCTAGTGAACTAAACAACCTTAAGGCCTTAGAAAAAGCTAGCCTTATGCTCCATGTCCGAGTGAAGTGGGAACACTTCAGGAAGACTGGAGGAAATTTCCAAAACCTCACTCAGTGCCGTAAGTGCCAGGGATGGGGTCACGGAACTAAAAATTGCTACATGCCAGCTAAATGCATGAATTGTGGTGATTCCTCTCACGCAAAGGACGACTGTCCTGTGAAGGAAGATCCTAAGAAATTTAAATGTTCAAATTGTGGTGAAAACCACAAATCCAATTTTTGGGAATGTAAGACTCGCAAAGCGATCCTACAATCTCGTTCTAACCGTCAGGTAGGAAACGCTCCACGTTTCCGACCAGGTACAAATTCCTCTGCTGTTAACAACGGTCAGCGAGGAACAAATTCTACATTCGTACCCGTAGGTACAAATATCTCCCCTGCTTCAAATGTTTCATCTGTACCTACTCCCCTCGCTGCTAACAATGTTCAGCGAGTTAATGGAGCTACCTATGCTGCTATTGCAGCGGGTAGAAAACAAAATACTAACCAACGTTCTAACGGAAACTTTGACAATTTTGACTTAGGAAGCATTACTGCCCCCAAAATGGAATTTTTACAGAATTCATTAATTGACATGATTTCTGATATGCTTAAATCTAACTCCATGTTTGATGCTATTCAAACTGGAGTAAAATTTGCAAATAATATTGTCATGACTTTAAAATTCAGTAATGGATTTTAAAGCATTAAATATTGTAAATTGGAATGCTCGATCTCTTAAAGATAATGAAGACGAGCTATTTAACTTTTTAAGAGTTCATAACGTGCATATTGCCGTTATAACTGAAACGTTCCTTAAACCTGCCCATAAGGTTAAGAAGGACGCAAACTACTTGATTTATAGAAATGATCGTCTTGATGGACCCTGTGGTGGCGTTGCCATCATTATTCATAGACGAATCAAACATAAAATTCTTTCTTCATTTGAAACCAAAGTTTTTGAAACTTTGGGAGTTTCTGTTGAAACAAAATTTGGACAACTTACGTTTATAGCTGCCTATTTGCCATTCCAATGCGTGGGCCAGCAAAAGAATTTTCTCAAGGGTGACCTCCAGAAACTTACCCGTCATAGGTCTAAATTCTTCATTATTGGTGATTTTAATGCAAAACACCGCTCATGGAATAATGCTCAAAGCAATTCCAATGGTAATATTCTGTTTGATGATTGTTCTGCAGGTTATTACACTATTCAATATCCAAACAGCCCAACATGCTTTTCTTCTGCAAGAAATCCCTCCACTATTGATTTGGTCTTAACTGATTCATGTCAACTTTGTAGCCAATTGGTTACCCATGCTGACTTCGGTTCTGATCACCTTCCAGTAACTTTTGAAATATCCCAAGAAATAATTTCTAATCCCAACAGCTCTACTTTCAATTACCATAGAGCTGATTGGGAGCAGTATAGAACATTTATGGAATATAACTTCGATCCAAACATTCCTTTGCAAACCAAAGATGAAATAAATTATGCTCTTGAATCTCTGACTACTTCTATAGTTGAAGCAAGAGCTGCCTCAGTACCAAAATGCGAGGTTAAATTCGATTCAATTATAATAGACGATGATCTTCAGCTCTTGATCCGTCTTAAAAATGTCCGTAGGAGACAATATCAAAGAACACGCGATCCTGCCATGAAAGTTATCTGGCGGGATTTGCAAAAACAAATTAAAAAGCGATTATCTGCCTTGAGGAACAAAACTTTTGAAAATAATATTTCTAAATTAGACCCGAGTTCCAAACCCTTTTGGAAACTCACAAAAATTTTGAAAAAACCTCAAAAGCCTATTCCAGCGCTTAAAGAAGGTGGTAAAATTTTGATCACAAATTTGGAAAAAGCTCAGAAACTTGCTAAGCAATTCGAGAGTTCCCATAATTTCAGTTTGGGTCTTACTAGTCCTATTGAGAATCAGGTTGCTCGGGATTTTCTGAATATTTTCTCTCGGGAAAATATTTTTGATGATTCCTGGGGGACTGATTTGGACGAAGTAAGGTCTATAACTAAAAAATTTCAAAATATGAAAGCTCCAGGTGATGATGGAATTTTCTATATCCTCATCAAAAAACTCCCAGAGAGTACCTTGTCTTTCTTGGTAAAATTATTTAACAGATGTTTCCATTTGGCATACTTTCCTGATAAATGGAAAAATGCAAAAGTTGTTCCAATTTTGAAGCCGGATAAAAATCCAGCTGAAGCTTCTAGCTACCGCCCAATAAGTTTGCTTTCTTCAATAAGTAAACTTTTTGAAAAGATAATTTTGAATAGAATGATGCTTCACATCAATACGAACTCAATTTTTGCAGATGAGCAGTTTGGATTTCGCCATGGGCATTCAACTACTCATCAACTCTTAAGAGTTACCAATTTAATTCGTTCAAACAAATCTGAAGGCCACTCAACTGGAGTTGCTCTTCTAGACATAGAAAAAGCATTCGACAGTGTTTGGCATGAAGGTTTGATTGCTAAATTGAAAAAGTTTAATTTTCCACTTTATATTATGAAATTAGTTCAAAATTATTTAACTGACAGAACTCTTCAAGTAAATTATCAAAATTCCAAATCTAATCGACTACCTGTTAGAGCAGGAGTTCCTCAGGGTAGCATTCTTGGGCCTATATTGTATAACATTTTCACTTCGGACCTCCCTGATTTGCCTCAGGGTTGCCACAAATCTTTGTTCGCTGATGACACAGGCATTTCCGCTAAAGGAAGAAGTCTTCGTGTTATTTGCAGCAGACTGCAGAAAAGTTTAGATATTTTCTCTTCTTATTTACAAAAATGGAAGATTTCTCCCAACGCTTCCAAAACTCAACTTATAATATTTCCACATAAGCCTAGAGCTTCGTTTTTGAAACCTAGTAATAGTCACATAGTCACTATGAACGGAGTTCCAATTTCCTGGTCAAACCAAGTGAAATATCTTGGATTAATACTTGACCAAAAATTAACTTTTAAAGATCACATTGAGGGCATTCAAGCCAAATGTAACAAATATATAAAATGTTTGTATCCTCTTATAAACAGGAAATCCAAACTTTGCCTGACGAATAAACTTCTAATATTTAAACAAGTTTTTAGACCGGCCATGCTTTACGCTGTGCCAATATGGTCTAGTTGCTGCACTACCAGGAAAAAAGCACTTCAAAGGATTCAGAACAAAATTCTGAAAATGATTTTGAAGTTGCCTCCCTGGTACAGTACTACCGAAGTACATAGAATTTCGAATGTTGAGACTTTAGCACAAATGTCCAACAAAATAATTAATAATTTCAGGCAAAAATCGTTGCAATCCTCAATTGCAACGATTAATTCCCTTTATACTTAGATAAGATTTAGTTTTAGTTTTTAGTTTTAAGATATCAATTGTTATACTGACATGCAGGTTAAAAAACCTAAATACTGAATTGCCAAGACATGAACAATGTAAAAACACTTAGATATATATCAAAAAAATTAAGGCTGGTACGTTACTGCAGTAACTGGAGCACCTAGGTTAAAATGAAATGTAATTTATTTTGAATTTGGAACAAATAAAGAGTTAAAAAAAAAAAAAAACAAAAAAAAAAAAAAAAAAAAAAAAACCCAGCGGATTACTGCATACCCTTCATACCGCATGTATTTATAATCTTCAAGAGTGCGCTAGTAGTCCATTCTAAGCCTTGCGAATGAATTGCTGTCTCGCAAGCTCTGCCGTTTCTATGAAAATCACATCACCATCTGAATGGGACCAATTTAACAGCAGCCACTGCGTAGAATTATGATAATGTATGGACCAAATATTTGACAATAGGCAGCCACATTGAACCGTTTGAAGATGATAATTCTGATTAACGACAAATGGCTGTGTGCATTCAACACACTGAGTTCATCGATGTTTTCTCACAATTTGTTCTTCCCATCCCAACTGTTATGACTGTATATAGCGCCGTACCGGTACGTTCGATGGTCACGGGACAATATGCTACTGGTCGATTCGAGATATCCAGAGTTAACACCTCCGCCGCGGATTCAAATGTGGACCAACGGAAGCCTGGAGGTGAGCCAGGTGCAGATGGACGACACCGGAGACTACCAGTGTGAAATCATAACCGGAAGCGGAAAGGCAGTCCAGAAGCATGCCATCGAAGTACAGTGTAAGTCTTTTTTTTTTAGCGATTCAGGATGTCAAACTATCAACACACTTACCTATTGTCTAACGATTACAGATCCTCCAAACATACTGATGTATCCGTCGGACCGAGTCGAAGTTAAAGTTGGTCAAATTCTGGAGATCATTTGCGACGTCACAGGAATTCCACAGCCATACGTCACGTGGAGTTTCAGAGTAAGGGCCACGAACCACTGAAATCTAACGAATTAAACATTATTCCTATTGATTTTAGAATGATAACGCTAGTGCTACCTTTGACAATAGTCGAAAAATGAGCGTACTGATCGAGGACAAAGACTTTGCCGGTCCAATCGAATGCTCCGCGACCAACGGAGTTGGCGAACCAGTCAGTGTAGTCCTAGAAGTGTTTGTTAATTGTTAGTATTTTCATTATTCAAAATTATGGCCATTACCTGTAACATTCTTATCTCGTAACAGTCATACCGGAAGTCACCGTCAAAACGACACCCGTCCACACAAAGATCGGTCAAAATGCTCAACTGGAGTGCATCGTTACATCCGCCCCGACTGCTGCCGTCCATTGGTTCCGTAACGGGTTGCCCCTGCCATCTGATCGACGATTCATGAAACAGGACAGTATCGTCAGCACACCGCAGTACCACACCATCTACCGGCACGTTCTCGTCATTCGGAACGTAAAAGACGTTGACCTGGGTCAATACGAATGCAAAGCTGAAAACAAGATCGGAATTAAGGGAGCTCACCTCGAGCTGACGGGTCGGCCGATGCCGGCCTTATTCAAACCTTCTGCTGAAATGTCTTCACCTTCGACGCACAACCTCGTATGGCAGGTGGAGAGCTTCTCGACCGTAATCGAATACAAGTTAAAATTCCGCAAGATTCCATCGGGAAACGTTACGCCAAACAAGCGATATCCGAATCTTCCCTGGAGTGAGCTGATTATACCGTCGGATGGATCTTCCGGTCCGTTGTACAGTACCGGCTACACGCTACAGGGACTCGAGCCTGCCAGCGTGTACGAGGTTGAGGTGTTGGCCAGGAATCGCTATGGGTGGAGCGTTGTTAGTAACATATTAAGATTTGCTACCGGCGGTGAAGGTAGGGATGGTATTGTTACAACCATGTGGATGAGAACCTATGATTTTTCCAATTTTAGTTGAACTGATGGACGTGGGATACCAAACAACGGAAACCATTGACTATCCAAGCGAGAGTGAATATCCCAGCATAACGGATAATGAGATCACCAATGAGGTGACTGACTATAAAGGTTTATACGGCGCTAACCTGAACAGTGGAATCGTTTCCGGTCAGAACATTGAGCTTCTCTGTGTGCTATTGTTTTTGTACAGTGTGTATGTGTATGTAACATAGAACTAGAGTTGGAAAATAAATAATTAAATCCATTGAATATAAGCCGAACGGAGAGTCCTTGAACCAACCCCTTTAAGTTGTTAATTTGTTGTCCTCCATGACTGAAAAAAGTCAACGTATGCGAAGTCTTCCCAGTCTTTCTCGTTCGTGTTCCCTGCTGAATAGTATCCGCTTGTCGCTTTTTCAACATATGTATTGTGCTACGGTGGCTTACCAGATTTTATGAGGTTCACAATACTTATTCCGTTTACGTAACATTGGTAGAACTGGCGACGGCGATAGAAACCATTTCAAACTGAACAATGGTCCTAAGTAACATTTACAGATTCTCTTCGTCGACTTTCTATTGGTATCCTCACGGCTATGTTGAGTCTTTTCCAACTAATGTTAGCACTCATATCGATGAAAAAGCAAATCGACAGTGAGCATTCATAAGGGCGTATACGCGATGATCGATTCTCTTCATCGATTTTCTCTTTGCATTGCTACAGCTAAGCGAAACAATTTTGTAGAATTTATTCAATGTAGAGTTGTAACAGGTTGCATTGGCCATCAAAAGCAACAGCAAACGCACCGACAAACGTTAAATCTAGCGAGTTATTAACGAAAGAGAAAATCGATGAAGAGAATCGATCATCGCGTATACGCCCTTATGAATGCTCACTGTCGAAATAACTTCCTTCTAATACAACAAACACGACAAGAAAGGGTTCCCTAAATTAACAAAAAATACCTTTTTTCAGAGATCTCAACAGCGTCCCCCCTTAAGCCGAAAGTGACCTAGTGAGTAAATAAAAATTTCAAAAATGGTGTTGATGTTGGTGATGTCTCAGATCAGCTTTCGTCGTTTTGTGCGAAATAATAAAAGGAAAACATCTTTTTTGCAGAAAAGTCAGATTGATCGCAGTCGGCGCAGCCCACAGACAATTGGGTTTTAATGAGCTGTCACGAATTTATCTGTTTTTCCGCGGAATAATGTTTCAATCCCATGGTATTGTCAGGGGTATTGTAGTGAATCTTATGCGCGTGTGTTTTATCGATTTGAGAAAAGACCGGTTGAGAGTTGAGAGTGTCTGCCAGGTGGCAACGCGCTACCAATATAACTGTGAAAGATTGGTCTGGAAAAGGACATGTGGTCGTTTCCAACTTGAAGGGTGACTTGAATAGAAGCAGGACGAATCTTATCATCAAGGAAGTGAGCGGCTGACAGAACAAAAAGAGAGGAGATGAAAATGTTTGTGATGATCAATCACAGTCGTGCAAACCATCCGTTTTGGTGAGACCGTTTAATCTATCTATATAGAGGAAATGGATGTAATATCGGCCTAAATGCCCTTAATTTGGGCCTACACATAAGTTCAGCAATCGTCTAAATTTTCAATAGCGTCCAAAAATATCCATTAGTACCGTCCCAATGACGCGTTCATCTAGATAAAATTGATGAATAGCAGATTTTTAGCGATGGACCCAATCTTAGATCCATAGGCCAACATTAGAGCCATTTCCCCCATATAAAAATGAATTTCTGTCTGTCTGTCTGTCTACCGTTATAGACTCGGAAACTACTGGGGTCGGGAAAGGTTCTTATGATGATTCGAGACCCCTCATCCCTCTTTAAGGGGGGCTCCTATACAAATGAAACAGACATTTCTGCATAACTCGAGAACTGCGACAGTAAGCATGCATAAGGGCGAATACGCGATGATCGATTCTCTTCATCGATTTTCTCTTTGCATTGCTACAGCTAAGCGAAACAATTTTCTAGAATTTGTTCAATGCAGAGTAGTAACAGGTTGTATTGGCTATCAAAAGCAACAGCAAACGCACCGAGAAACGTTAAATCAAGCGAGTTATTAACAAAAGAGAAAATCAACGAAGAGAATCGATCATCGCGTGTAGGCCCTTATGCATGCTCACTGTCGAACTATTCAAGCAAATGGAACCAAATTTTGCATGTGGAGGTCAGATGGGGTAGCCCCTTAGATAAAGGGGGGGGGGGGATACGTACAATGTCAAGAACGAGCAAACCGATCGTAGTAGCTCTATTAAGATATGTTAGATCGTAGTAGATATGAGTTCGAGTTTGAAGTTAGCCCCTTAGATAAAGGGGGGGGATACGTACAATGTCAAGAACGAGCAAACCGATCGTAGTAGCTCTATTAAGATATGTTAGATCGTAGTAGATATGAGTTCGAGTTTGAAGTTGAATAAATCATTCTTCTAATTATCCTTTGACAGAAGTAGCCGTCTTTCCATAACTCTCTACTATCACGACAGGTTATGGGCCCAGCCATCCTGTAACCCTTGGAAACGGAAGATTGTTAGTCGAAGAATTTTTTTTTCACGAAGAACCGGAAGAATGCAAGCGGAACAGAAGCCCTACCTTTTCGACGGGAAGAACTTCCCTAACTGGAGTTTCCGGATGGAGACGTTATTGGAGGAGCGGCAGCTGATCGATTGCATCCGGCGGGAAGCGGACGAAATTCCGGAGATCCAAGCGGTTGAAACGGATACGTCACAGGTAAAGGCGCAGAAGGAGACGAAGCTGGCGGAGCGGAAACTTCTGGAAGCTCGTTGCAAGTCGTTGCTGGTGAAGAAGATTGCAGATTCGCAGCTGGAGTACATCAAGGTCAAGTCTACTCCGAAGTCGATCTGGGCAACGTTGCAGAACTTGTTCGCGAAGAAAGGAATTTCCGGCCAGTTTTACCTACTGAAGCAACTGGCCGTAATGAAGTACAGCGAAGCGGAACCGATGGAAGAGCACCTGCTGCGGTTCGAGAGGATCATCCGGGAGCTGGCCTCGGCAGACATCGTGATGCACGAGCGGCTGGTGGTGTTCAATTTGCTGCAAACCATGCCGAAATCGTTCCAGCAGCTGGTGACAGTCCTCGAAACCCTACCGGCGAAGCAGTGCACACTCGAATTTGTGAAGGCCAGGTTGCTGAATGAAAACGTGAAGCGCGAACCGGAAGGCACTCCGAATGGTGAGTCGGCGTTTTTCAGTGAGCGGCCCAAGATGAAGTGTTTTTCCTGTGGCAAAGTGGGTCACAAACGCGCAAACTGCCCCATGAAGAAGGACTTGGACCAACGGAAGTCGTCCGGGAAGCCGAAGAGGAAGGAAAACACCAACGTGGGAATCTGAGTCAGTTCTGGTGGATTCTCGATTCAGGCGCCTCCGAACACATGGTGCAGTCAGCGGATTGCCTTCGAGACGTGGTGAAGCTGGACAATCCGGTACCAATCGTGGTGGCCTCCGGGAAGGTCGTGTACAGCTATCACTCTGGCACGGTAAGCATGGTCTCGATGGTCGGAAAGCGTCAAATCAACAGCGTGGTGAATGACGTCCTGTACGTGCCGGAACTGCAGTACAACATGTTTTCCATTCGGCGCATCGGCAAGCTTGGGATGCGTGTGACGTTTAAAGGTCATGCTGTGGAAATCTGTACGTGCTGAACGCCACCGTGAAGCGTGGACCAGTGGATGGAGCGCTGGTAGTCTTGCCGGTGAACAAGTACGAGCTGTGGCATCGGAGGTTCGGCCACATTGGCAAGAGTGGTCTGAAGACTCTGGTGCGCAACGAGATGGTCAACGGCATGGTGCTGAGGAAGGACGCATTTCAAGACAACGAAGTGTGCGAACCTTGTGTGCTTGGGAAGCATGCGAGACAGCCTTTTGGAGACGTACCAGTTCCGAGATCCAACAAGCCGTTGGAGCTGGTACACAGCGACGTGTGCGGTTTCCTGACCCCGACAGCCTGGAACGGAAAAAGGTATTTCGTTACATTCACCGACGATTTTACCCATTTTAGCGCCGTATACATCCTTGCGGCGAAAAATGAGGTACTGGAGGTCTTCAAGCAGTACGCGAGCATGGCTGAGGGGCATTTCGACAGCAATATCCGTCGCCTTAGGTGCGACAACGGCGGAGAATACGTCGGCAACGAGTTCCAGCAATACTGCCGAGACCGTGGAATGCTAGTGGAGTACACCGTTCCATACACGCCACAGCAAAACGGCGTAAGCGAGCGTTTGAACCGGACGATCCTGGACAAAGCGAGGGCGATGGTTCAAGATTCTGGCCTACCGAAGCAGCTTTGGGGCGAAGCAGTTCAAGCGGCGGTGTACATCGTCAATCGGAGCCCGACGATGGCGTTGAACAAGAAGACGCCGTACGAGATGTGGTACGGGCACCAACCAGACGTGTCTAAACTCCGCAACTGGGGGAGCAAGGCCTACAGCTTAATTCCCAAGGAGACGCGTAGCCAGGTATGTTACTTCGTGGGCTACGGTACGAACGGGTATCGTTTGTGGAACAGCAACAAGCAGAAGGTGTTTCTTGCTCGTGACGTCATCGTGAATGAATCAAGGTATACGTCGACCAGCGAAGAACCTGTGAAAAATGTCAAAGACGACAAAGCGCAACCGGTTTGGACCCGACCGGAATCGCAGGCGGTGGTCCCAGATGAATCAGTAGTTGCAATTGAGCCAGCAAATGAACAAGTTGATCCTCCAAACGACGACCAGGATGACGACAACGATGAAACACTGGTGGAAGAAGATGATGATGAAGAAGAAGAGGTTAACCCGAGAAGAAGCGTACGTGTACGGAAGGCCCCGGCAATGTTGGGCGACTACTCATGCCTGGTGTACGCGTTGAATGCGGAGAACTACGTGCAGAACCTACCGGAAACCATTGAAGGGATGAAGTCGCGAGAGGATTGGCCGCGGTGGCGTGAAGCCATTGAGGACGAACTGAAATCACCAGCATAAAACAATACCTGGGAGCTGGTGGATCTACCGTCGGGACGAAAACCGGTGGATTGCAAATGGGTGTTCAAGCTAAAGATGACGCCGGATGGCAACGTAGACAAGCACAAGGCGAGATTGGTTGCCAAAGGATTCACGCAGCGGTATGGATATGATTACTCTGAAACCTACGCTCCGGTGGTGAAGATGTCGACGGTTCGAATGGTGCTGGGATTGGCAAACCAGGAGAATTTGCTGATCCACCAGATGGACGTCCGGACGGCGTTCTTGAACGGTCATCTATCGGAGGAGATCTACATGCGCCAACCTCCAGGATTTGAGGAGGGGGATCGAGTATGTAAGCTAAACAAATCCATCTACGGTTTGAAGCAGGCATCGAAGGCGTGGAACGACTATTTTCACGAGTTTGCATCCCGGATCGGCTTTCGCAGGTCCGAGAGTGACAGCTGCCTGTACGTATGTGAGCGTGATGGTGAGAAGGTGTTCCTGCTGCTGTATGTCGATGATATCCTCGTCGTCTCTCGTTCCTTGGGTGTTATTGGTACCATCAAGAAGCTGCTGAAGTCGGAGTTCTCGATGCAGGACATGGGCGAAGCGAAGATGTTCCTGGGATTGAAGATTAACCGGGACGTGTTGTCGGGACGAATGCGACTAAGTCAGGAACACTACACGAAATCGATCCTGAAGCGATTCGAAATGGAGAAGTGCAAGCCCGTATCAACTCCCATGGAAGCGGGTCTACAACTTGTGAAGAACGACACGGACGAGAAGCTGGAGAAGCCATACCGTGAGCTGATAGGTTGCCTCAACTATTTGATGGTGACGTCCAGACCAGATCTCAGCGCAGCGGTGAATTACTTCAGTCAGTTCCAGAGCAATCCATCCGAAGATCACTGGGTGCACGCCAAGCGGATTTTGCGGTATCTGCAGGGGACAGCTGACCACGGACTGGTGTACGACCAGTCGACCGGTCCCATCCGGCAAGTGACTGGCTATGCGGACGCGAACTGGGCTACGGATATCAACGACAGGCGTTCGGTTTCGGGAATCCTGTTCAAGCTGTACGGAGTCACAGTCTGTTGGAGTACCAGGAAGCAGAGCACCGTATCCTTGTCGTCGACCGAAGCGGCATGTTTCGCTCTAGCAGAAGCAGCGTGCGAGGCCATTTGGATCGGCAAGGTCTTGAAGGATTTGGGGGTGCTCGAACCGCAGCCGCCACTTTTATATGAAGATAATCAATCAACCATTGCTATCATGGAATCAGCCGGACATTCGAAGCGTTTGAAGCACACCGACGTCAAGATACATTTTGTGCGGGAGTGTGTAGCTTCGAAGAAACTTGAAGTTCGCTACAGCTAGTTTTATGTAATTTTAAAAGTTTATCATTCTATCTATATTTATTATGAAGAATACCGTGTTTGTGCTTTTGCTCCGCGTTTATTTTTCATGGATAAATAGAGTCCTGGTGTTTCCGTTAGTTATAGTTAAATTCTGGAAAAAGTTTGAAAAACGACAAGGGACAACCCTATGCGGTTGTACGCAATGCTGACATAGGACTCGTTGGCTAAAGTGGGCGCTATAGAAGGCGATATTTTTGATCGACAAATCGCCTTTGAGGAATTTTTCTCAACTACCCGTCAGCAAGTCCTCACCAACTGGCAACAAAAAATGGAATGAGAGTGATCTGGGAAGATGGTTACATTCTATTCTCCCACAGGTGTCGATCAAGCCGTGGTTCAAAGGATTGGACATGAGCCGTGTCTATATACGTGTCATGTCGAGGCTCATGTCCAATCACTGCTCGTTAGATTCGCATTTCTTCCGAATCGGGCTCGCAGGCAGCAATTTGTGCGCTTGTGGTAGTGGTTATCACGAGATCGACCACGTCTTTGGTCATGCACCCTACATTGTGTTGCTAGATCCGAGTTATCCGCATCCCTCAGGGCCCGAGGAAAACAACCTTTGCGGCCCGTTAGAGACACCTTGGCGAGCCGAGATCTCGATTATTTTGTGTTAGTGTCATCTTGTGTTCTCTCAAGTTGCTAGGTCCCGATCGGTGTACCCCCATGTTCGTCTTTTTCTCCAGTAAGTCGCTTAGTTCTAGATCAAGAGCACATTGCTCGAAAAATCCTTGTGTTCTCAATCCCTACCCTGCCATCCGTTAATTACAATTTGTAACCCCTAACCTCGAGATAGCCACGAGTAATCGGCCCCCGCTTTACTAACGTTAGTTTTAAGTAATGTTGTAACCCAAACGATGAATATCGGCTCCGCAAAGCTACGGCAAATGAGCCTGGAAAAATAAACGCATTAAAAAAAAGTGTACCCTCATGTAGAAATCACAGACGTAGTCCTACGTCAAAATTACGCTAAACTTCAGATATCCCCATCAGAGTCCACGAGTTACCCCCTCGCATAACCGCTGGATTCCCGACCAAGTGGCAGTTCCGGAAAAATAGAAATCTCTCTTAAATCTCCAACATCCAATCGTCCGATGCAGCCACATCAAGAAGAAGTGACCGAAGGAGGTATCTATTTGTGACATTTCATAGCAGTTTTCCAGAGCCCGGAAAAGTTGACCAATTTTGATCATTCCAATTTTATCTTTACATTAGGAATTTGGCTAACATTGGAGGCTGTTGGTGAGATTTTTCCATTACACTATATTATATAAACCATTCATTACATCACATATTATTGTTACATTCACTCTTACATAGCTCCGAGCGTTTGGTACGGTATGTCCACGCATCCTTCCATCCCTGTAGATTCATGGAATGAATCACTGTTTAAATAGTTTTATTCAAACTCGAATCATTTAACAGAATCATCTTCAAGATATGCTGCAAACATCAATGTTAAAAAGAAAAATTATTAGGCGTTATCTAGCCTAATCATTTTCCAGGATGCTTGCTCATACTGGCTGCGTTTGTATTAGATAAGATTAGATTAGAACATGTTTTTGTAGGAAAGTCAAATCATCTCACCAATCAAGTGTGAGCTAAGTAAAGGAGTGCGCATTTGATAAGTATTTTCGCATTAATGACCCTTCGCTCAATTTCATCTTCTGTTCCATTTTCACACTGCCATACTCTAACGAAACTATCAATCTATCCTCTTCAGAAATTTATCTAGCTAATAAATTATAAAAATAAAGCTTCATGTTGATATTAGTATAGCATTTCCTCCCAACTCTAAACATCGTAAACTTGATAGTACATTTTCTAGTCCACGCTAAATTGGTGCCAGAATCAAACTACAATCAGATATCCGGAGAATTTCGAGATTTGGGCGTAATTGCTTTTCTAAACAAACATGTCAATTGCTGATTTCTCGCGAATAAAAGCTCAATCTCGGGATCAATTTATACCACATGCTAGATGAATAATTATTCCTCTACCTGTTTGTGTTGTGAATTTTCTAGACGGAGCTTTTATTCGCGAATAATCGTCAATTGAAGCGTTTGTTTACAAAATCAATTACGCTCAAATCTCAAATCACTTCGGATATGTAAATCCACGAAATCTGCGAAGTTGCAACAACCCTGTGAAGTGTCGAAGCAAATCTTTTTCAACAGAAATGGCCAGGAGTCCTTGCCACCAGACTTATGTATAAGGCTTTCTTTCATCTTCTACGTACATCACGGCTAAACTCCCTGTCTTCAAATCAATTAACATATTTTTATTTGCTGGTTTATGGTAGTTTTCTGTAATAATTATGGTAAGTTATTAATTTAGCATACACATCTGTCTTCTGCTGTACACATTAGCTAACAGCCCCCTCTTCCTTGTGGAGAATTTCTAAAGCTTTTTTTAAAAAACAAACGACGAGAAAAATCCATTCTGTCTTTCTGTTACTGTATTGAGAATAAATCTTTTCCCCTAAGCATACCCACACCCCACACACACACAAATGTGATTCGTGGCGTTGGAGTGTGCTGTTGAGGTTCTTCTCAATCTCTCATTAGCTTTATCTAGGACATGACTACACCCAAAAGCTAGACCTCCTCTTCTCATCCAATAATAGCTGTATCTTATTTGTCAGCAGACAGAGGATCTCTTTGACTACCATATTCTCATTTAAATATTTAGTACCTAAGGTCACAAAAAAAACTAACCGTAAATAGCGCGAAAATATGAACGAACTAAGGGATGATAAAGAAAACAAAATAAAATAACATACAAATGAACGGATATCTCTCCCAAGAGAATGAGAAATAGTTGCGAAAAGAAAAATATAATCCAACTGTCACCGTGCCTCCGCTTTGTATTTGGCAGCGCCTTCGTTCGTATTGGAACAAGCAATTAGTGGCAGCCATACTTAAAACCAGAATGACTCTCTCTTTATCTTCTTGTTAAGCCTTACTTCTTCATCAGTCGATAATAACAACCCGCCCACTGTCTGTCTCCATTGTAGAATTAGTTCCTCTCTTTCTTAGCGATTGGTATATTTTCATCTCAATATAAATAGTTTTCCTACAAAAATAGTGTTCCAGCTTTCTTTCCGCTCTCTGCTGTCCGAAGACACAGCTCTTTCCTATTGTTTGATGCGCGGCATTCGTACAGGTGCCGATGATTGGCTTCTAATCCGAATCGGAGTTGGACTCCGACAGGCACAGATCCTCCGTCAGCAGATGCGTAGGAAGCGACCGGTTGTTGAGCGTGTCCGACCGGGCTGCACCTATACCGAAAATCGATTCTATCATTTTGGAGGTAGATTGCCAAAGGACGAGCGGATTCCCACCGATTTCACATGGTACAGGGGTCGAAGATAGAAGTGCAATGTGCCAACCATAACCATATCCGTGCGATCCCATTTAGTAGCGTAATGTGCATACCAACATGGCGAAGATCAACGCCGCAAGTGCAATTAAAAGTGGGGAAAAGAAGAGATAGAAAACAGTTCCGTTTAGCTTCTGTGGTGCTCGAGCTTGTAAGTGAAAAAAAACTATAACTTTGAGGATAGTCAATCGCTAGAAGTTAAGTAGGTAACCAAGAAGAAGAAAAAAATCCCAACGCAGAACAAATGTAGGAAAGTAATTACAAAAATGGTCTTACCTTTAGCCGGAGAATCATTGTTGTCTTCGGTAGTGCTGTCCGACTCGGAGCCACTATCACTGTCACTAGAACCACTTGAGTCTGAGCTGGAAGAAGTCAGCAAAGCAGTAGACTAGAAACGAGAAGTAAGTCAAATTTAGTCAAACAATGCCCTCCTAGCATATAATTAGGGACTCACAAATTCCGTATCTCTGCGAGGCGAAGCTTGTGCCCGCGACGGTAGATTAATCTCCACGTTGCTATCGACATGATGATTATTGTACGGGTTGAGGTGACTATTGCTATTGCTCCCAAGACCATGCATACCACCGCCGCCACTCTGATGGTTGTTATGGTTACTGCTACTGTTGCTGTTGTTACTGGTATGATGATTGTTGTTGGTGTTGTAGTTGGGTGCCCCACTACTACTGCCGCTGCTGCTACTGCTACCACCACTGGTGTTGTGAGCATTGTTGCCATGATGCATTGACTGTGACTGTTGATGCTGCTGTTGCTGCTGTTGTTGGTGCTGCTGTTGATGCTGTTGCTGCTGTTGCTGCTGCTGTTGATGCTGTTGATGCTGTTGATGCTGCTGCTGTTGATGCTGCTGAGCCGATGGCAAAGAGGACGAAGGCACCGTCATGAAATCATTACCATCGTCCAGCCCAATGATCGGGATGCTTGGCAAGGTCTGTTGAGTATTGTTGGCGTTCCATCTGCAAAATAAAAATATAAAACTTGTTATCTAGGCAAACCAGCAGGAATAGGCAGAGACTTACACTGGCGCCGCCAGGGGACTCTTGTTCGGGTGGTAGGAAGGCGAGTTCTGCAATGGCGAATGTTTTGGCACGAAGCTGATGGGAGTGCTCTTGCGGGAACCGGTCGTGATTTTGGTTTTGGAACTTAGCCGCGCCGTCGAGTTCTCGACCTTGATTTGAGGAGGTGGCGGAGGTGGCTGAACAACCTTACTTTCGATTCTGTGAAGAAGGAAATATATAATAATTAGTGTGGCGCAGTTGATTGACAATCACTTGCAAGAATGCTATTTCCCAAGTCCCGGATTTTGAAGACAACATAACATATTTGAAATCCCAATCAAGATTTTGGGCGCTGGAAAATTATCAAGTATTTTGGATGATCTAACAGGAAGAATATTTCATGGAATTTTAACTATTGGTATAATTCCAAGGCAAGGTGTCGACTCAATGATGAAAAATAAATTCATTGATATTCCCTGATTTTCCAACCGTGTTTCTGAAAAATTCCAGGCATGGTTGGAGTGATAGAAATAAATGAAGTCCAAAAATTAATTTCGCTTACTGATTAAGATAATCCATAGTGTTCGTAGTCGGTTATAACTTAATGGTTTAATTATAAAGCAAATTATTAAGCTCGTCATCCAATAATAGGCACCATTTTTTATAGTTGTGGAAGGTTCTGTAATGTTGGTCCTATAATAAGAGGAAACCATTGTTTCTATTTTAAGTAGTACTATCGCAATTATATGTGCGATAAAAATGCATTCGTTTCCGAACGAATATCAAACTTTTAATGGAATACTGTATACTGTCAGTTATGATTTCACCACTACTGACAGCAAAGCGCCACCTTCCTATGGGCAAAAAGTTAACCGAAAAAATCATGTATGAAGATTTTTTTTTTCGAGAGTTGACCAACTGCAGTTTTAATAGGCTAGAATCTCGGTTGGGCTCTCCATGCGATACACAATACTTTCAGACGACTCGAGCTATGGTGCTCACTAGGTCACTGCAGCTTTTAGGCTCGTATTGTGGTCAACTGTGTGTATTAGATTACGACCATAAATCCGGAGAACCCCGAGATCTGGGCGCAATCGCCCCTGCAAACAAACACGTCAATCGTCGGCCTCCCGCGAACAAAAGAACAATCCTGCAAACAAACTATAACAAATCATAGAGGAACTATTCTTCTACCTGTTTGTGTTAATAGTTTTTTCCAGACTGAGCCCCAATCCGCGAGAAACCGACAAACGACGTGCCCATCTACAAAAGCAACTACGCTCCAACCTCGAAGCTCTCCCGAAATATGTGATAAATCATGTAAATGTCAATGGAATACAGTAATGTCCCGATTTTGTCAGCCCCCTTTTTTGAAAATGTTTTCCAATGTTCTACAAAACCCATGCCCTTTTTCAGTAATCTTCTTGAACCTATTGCACCAAAGTATACTTTAAATATCCCTCTTAACGAATGACGAATGAGAAAAATTTAGATTTATTATTATGTGAAATTAGTGAAAAAAAAATCTGAAGCGCGGAGGGGCTGACAAAATCGGGTCATTACTGTATTTAAAATAAATAAATTCATTCTTACCTTTTTATGGTTGTTTGATTATAAATTGCTATTATTACCTGCTTAGAGTTGGCTCCTTTAAAATACTGTGTAGAATTTACCTCATTATTCCTCAGTTCTATCGATTTGTGATAGAACCACGCTCAGCATATTATCCTGTAGCTGTAGTACGACTTGGGCATGCACCATGCAAGTAACTCATCTCTCGTCAAAATCATGGGATATGGGGTGATGGTGAAGGGATATAGAAAACGAATAAAAGAACAGAAAGAAAGGTATTAGTATTGGTTACATTAACCACCCCCACACACACAACGAAAAAGAAACATAGATGCACAGACAAACAGAAATAACACATTTAATATTTTTCTCCAGAAAACATAGTCACTAAAACACTACCGCCATCTGTCGAGTATCACGTGATGGATGGTACGCTGAATAGATGGCGCTAGTGTGCAGACGTCAAACGCAAGGGAACCGACCGTGCGCGCCACAGGTGGCGGCACCACCAACCAAAAACACCCGAATTGACCGTCAAATGCGTATTCGATGAACAACCTGTCCAACCGAGTGTTATGTCTGTTTGTCTGTGATAGATAGGTTATTAGGAAAGTACAACTACATTATAAATATTAGTGCAATGGATGAACGTTATAGCGAATTCGTTTATTATCGGGGTTAACACCAGTTCCAACCCAGTGCGAAACCGAACTTTTTGTCAGTGCGAATCTCAACCTGAGCTAGGTTTTGAAACAAACGAGCAAACTGACGTTTGTCAGAAAACAAGCAGACCCAATCTTGATACCCGATCCAGGTTGGAACTGAATAATAAACGAATTCGCTATTAGTTTCGGGGTCATGTTAGTGTTAGAGTTTTGTTAGTATTGACCCTTATTCAGCCCAGTCGGCCCCTCGAACACTAGTCGCAGGCAGTTGTTGTTAGGACATGCGACACTGTCACTGCTACTATGTTAGAGGTATGACCCGTCAAGTTTCGAAGTGCAAAAAAAAACCGTTAGAACTTTCTTATAAATTAACTTTACACTCAAAGCAAACTATTTACCTTAGCATTACAAAAGCGAATTTAAAATTACTATTTTATTTTATGCTAATATTAAAATTATGATAAAACTACAATTTACGGCTCCGTGAAATTAACTCGCATGAACCTTTCAAATCAATGAACTGTGATGTGATGATGTGAATAGAACCCACCATCAGTGCAAGGATTACCTATGACTGCAGATACTTCACTGGTTGTAAAGTTCTGCCTGATGGTTTGTTGCAGCAGGGTGAATCAACTTCATTGAAGACCTTTGGAAGACAAACGACAAGATGTACGTCTATCAACACGTGACAAGGGACTGGCAAATCCACGAACCCTTGTCCAGCATACAAATCCATTGAAGCCCTTAGGCTGCCCCCCCAAACCCAGCATATAATAATGTTTGATTAATGCAACGTATTCAAAAAAGGGATATTTAGATAGAACAATCTTCAACTGGAACGTACTCACCAAATCAATATATCCGGGAGTGCATTCTCGATGCTTAATTTTCTCTAGTCATTTTTACACAATTCCTCCTCCAGCGAATCCAACCACACAATAACTAAATATCACTTTTCTTCTTCATGTCACTCTGTGCACAAAAGCAATGCACACCGCAAAAACCTAATAATATATCAGCGCGGTCGAGTCACACCGTCAACAAAGGGAGCGAGAGCACAACAGGCACCAAAGCAACAGGGGAAAAACATCAGCACAAATCATTCTAAATAGAATTATCGCGTCCGGGACATAAAACTATTCAAATGCGAGCACCGAAAAACTACACGGCAGCACAAAGATAGCCCGAGCTCTAAAAAAAAAAGCACGCAGCGGAGCAAAAACACACAACCGTTCTCGGACGCTTCTCAAAGCGGACTGACCTTTCAAATCAATGAACTGGAGAAAAACTACAATTTTATCAAATTGCAAAAAAAAAAATCATAGCGACACTTGACAAATCATCATCAAGCCCCTCATCTTTGGACAGGGGAAAAAATCATGTATGAAGATTTGAACATTTTTCATATCGATTTTGGAAGCGAAAACAGAAAATGATGGTGATGCGTAAAAAATTACAAGAACCTATCACCGGTCCATATTTTGTTAAAATCAACATTTTCCGGTATGCTGTATGCAAAATAAAGCGTTGTTACTTTTTTTATACTAGCAACATCTGTTGTAAAAATCAACCATGCCTTTTATCCATTGTAATCACATGTAATCACAGCCATTTTTAGAGGAAAAGTTCCATACTGCATTAGAATGCCCATTAAAATTTTCTAGAAAATAAGTTTGAAATATTTGCTGAAAGGTTTCGAGACCACGCTTCACGGAGTTATGTTCGTAATATTCTTTAAAATTTGATATTAGATATGAAAATAAATATTGCAACCAATAACAGATCCTATACGGCGAATTTAATTAATATACCGTGCTGTGCCCTAATTCCGTTCACGTAAGACAGTGAACTTAAAGAGCCTGAATTTATAAAGAGACGACATCTTATCCATTTGGCAGGTCTTCTGCTCGATTGGAATGACTTTTCGTATGAATTTGACAGATAGTCGATTGTTCCAATTTTGACATGTCGTCTCTTTATAAATTCAGGCTCTTTAAGTAAACTATGTCTAAGTGCTCTAAAAAAATAGTCTTTTCGTATTTGAAAGCCACATTCTGTTTATTCAATAGTAAATGTACTTCTGATTTGATAATGGAATCGAGTTTCGAACGCCTTTGGATACGGTTGTGTCTTAAGTTTCTTCTCTGTTTGGTGCGTGCATTAGCTTTCATAGTTTTCGGCTGCATTTGCCGGATTAGCGCTGGCACTCTGCCTCCCGGACGGTTATACGTGTGTGAGTGGTGGTTTTCTCGCTTTCCGAGAAGTTTTAGAATCGAGAAAGAAAACATGATTCATCATGTTTGCAAGCAACAGAAGATTTGAAGCTATCTGCGTTGTTTGATTTTTTCTACCGGTCCAGAAATTTGTGACATCGCGAGCGATAATTTTAATTTTAGTTTATTTACGCGGTGATGATGTTGGTTGACTCGCAACTATTTTGGAAAAAAAATTAAGTGTTTTCGAACGAAAGTGTACCAAAAGTGCTTCTAAACGTGTTTCGTAGTTGGGTGTGGTGAAATTCGTGCATTCCGTGCATTGAAGGATGCCTCGCTGGATACGCCCAAGACTGGACGGGCAGTAGCTGGCGGCCGTGAACGGTTCCTGGGGAAAGCACTAGATGCGACCCTCCTCCCAGATGACCATGGCAATACAGGAAGTATTGGTATTGGAAGGAAATTGCTATTAGATATTTTGCAAACAGTGACAGATAGCGGACATGAAGAACCAGTGAAGGTGCCGGGCAAAGTTGTTCATCCTAGACAAATAGTAAGTTACAAATTCGCTGTTGTCGTTGTCGTAGGCGCCGTCGTAGTCGCTGTCGTAATCGCCGTCGTAGTCGTAGGCAGTACCGTTAGTATATTTAAAATTAACCACCAACCGCTGAAAATATGAATTATCGCGTATTTCTGTTGTTCATTACATGCCAAGTAAAATTCGAGAACGTAATTTCATTTGAATAGTTTGTTCAACTAGGTCTTA